TCAAAGGCATCAATTCTCCTTCTATCTTCCCTAGTCATTGTCCAACTCTCTGATGCATATATTAACAAGTGATTGCAAAAACCATGACCTGTATCAGGTGGACCTTGGTCTCCAGAGAGACACCGTTGCTTTTGAGTACTTTAGAGAGGTCCTTAACAGCAGACTTTCCCATCCCAATACCTTACAAAATTAAAATACAATAACTCAGATAATGATTGGATAAAAATAGTATCCCATTTAAAAGGAATTTGGATGTCTAATAATGATTCTCTTGACTTGTATGATTTGCACCAAAGAATTATAGAAATGCAGAATACCCCAGATATAAATATTTCTCCAGCGGAACAAGCTAGTCTAATATTTGAAAATCTAAAAAACTGGTTTCCTTCAGAAACTTCATTTAGAAATCTCCTTTTTACGATTGTTGTTCCTTGTATTGTTATCATAGGTATACTATAGATCCTCCCTTGTGTTGGTCATATATTAGCCAAGCCTTATAGAGAACTGCTGGGTAAAGTACATGGAATTCAACTTAAGGCGCTCCCCCAACAAATGCAGGATGTGTAGCCAATAATGGGCAAGGAAAGACACTCACTCATGATTCTAAGACAGGGAGTAGCATAAATTGCTATTATCTCTATGATGGGTAACTTGAGTTTGAGTTCTTTTATCCACCTAAGGCAGGCAACACTCCATATTTTAATATTTTGGAAGGGGGAACTGTCAGGGGCCTGGCTAACTTGTAAAGCAAGATTAGCACTGCATTAGAAAACCAGCAGGACTGATTCCATCTTGACTAGAACATCTGCTTGGCAGTAAACAACTCGAGGAAGTAGGATGCAAATGAATGGGGAGTTACCAAAGGTCTCAGAATTCGAGGAATGTGAAGCTCTTAATTCTCTGAGACTCTTTATTCTTCTAAGCACACAATAAGGCATTCCAGAAGATGTCTTCATTTTGTGTTGAGGTCTGGGAATGTCTGACCTGACAGTCAACATCTTGGACAGATAAGAGATAATGCAATTACCCCTGCAGACATGCTTCTCAAACCTATATAAGCCTTTTCCAAAATAATAATTTAGCTATTCGTCATCAGTAAGTAGTCTCTCTGCGTCTTCATTTCATCCTCATCCCTTCTCTCGGCAGAACTGTTTCGATATAATGGGGCTGGACCCCGTTAATCTACATTCCATCACTTGTCACTTATACTTTCTCCTTAATGTTGGTCTTTCAGATTACACTATGGGCACTTAATGAAGAATGTATTAAGATCTTTGTAGTTCCTCTTCTAGTTCACCATCGGATTTCATTAAGTTAAAAAATACTGAATGATTGACAGTAACACAATTTATACAAAATTTTTGAGGACAGTAGCAATATTATTTCTGATTATATACCTGGAAGGAGGAGACCATCTGTTGAAACAAATGTATAACCACAAAATCCTCGATACTGAATTAGCAATTTGTCAAAATTTGCTGTGGTTTCTGGAAAAAGCCATTCCAATTTTTGGAAATCTGCCAGACGAACTCTATCATCTAATGGAAAAGCACACAGGAAAAATAGTTATCAGTAAAGTTAAATGTCCTATATAAAGCCATAAAAGATCATTAAAACTATTAACCTTTCACTGCTTTTTACTTTTTCTAGTTGTATAAAACTTGGCAGTGACAAAACCAGACTTATGAAGAGGGCTACTCAAGCAATGAAGTGTCAATGTCTCAGTAATTGTCCAAGGTCACAGGCTTGCTGGGGAAAACTCAAGACAGAAGTTTATTCCAAAAGAGAGAAAGACTGTCTAAGGCACTGCAGAAAGGTGTGCAGTGCATTCTACAACTACAGAATAAGCAAGGGAGCGAGTAGAAAAGTCTGTCTGTTGTATGAAACAAAGATTGTTCCATTTCATTCAAGGCAATGCAGCACTTAAAAATATACCATTTTCCCCCTTATTATTTGCCATTGTATTTTAATTGATCCAAAGCTGGCCCTCCAGCAGGTTTTCAGATGCAGTAAGTCACATGGGAAGAGACTGTTCATCTTTTTCACAGGGATCAGCTCGTGGATTCTACAAGCACAGCTCCTTACCTATTTGGGCCACCAGAGATCTAATAATATACTAGGTAGAAACATTTTTTAATGATGCTTATATACTAGGACTATTGCTTTCTTATAGTTGTGATTATTCTGAACAATGAAAATTAATGTTTCTTCATAGCTTTAGTTTAATGAAAATATATACAATTTTTAAATTTACACTTAGAATTCTTCATAGTGCTGGTTTCTTTATTTTTATTTGATAAGAAAATGGATTAAATTTTTTACACAAATATGTCTTATATAATGTTATTTTCCTACAGTTTTGATACAGTAACCAGAGCAATGGGAGTAGGTGTGTCTAAGTTAGTGAGACTGGCTCAGGACAGGATAGGCTTCAGAGCTGTTGTACATAGATAGGGTCTCTATGAGTTGCAGGTGATTCAATGACACATAACAGCAACAACAGTCCTATGTAGATTTTCAAGCCTGACTCTATATCCAAACAGAAGTCCTCACAAATAATCTTAATTATACATAAGATTACAAAAAAAAAAAGAAATGAATAATTTGGAGAAAATAAACTTCCTTATACCAAGAAACCTCGATGATGAGATGTGGCATGTGTAAATTACTAAAAAATATTATTATTTTTATTGTTATTGTTAGGTGCCATTGAGTCAAATACAACTCTGAGCAATTCTAAGAACAGATCCGAACTTTGCCCTATTCTGTGCAATCCTTATATCTCCCATGCTTGAGTTCATTGTCACAACCACTGTGTCAATCAAGCTTATGAAGTGTTTTCCTCACTTCCTCTGCCCTCTGTCTTTCTCATCAAGATGGCTTTTTCCAAAGACTAGTCCCTTCTGTTAACATGCTCAAAGTATGAGAAATGAAGTTTAGTATCCTTATGAAGGATATTAAAGAGCATACTAGGGTTTCATTTCCTTCAAGACATATTTGTTTATTTGACAGTCCATGGAATACTCAGTACTTTCTCCCAGCACCACAATTCAAAGTCATTGATTCTTTCTCTATCCTCCTTATTCATTGTCCAAATTTCATATGTAATAAGCGCTTGAGGTCTTCTAACTTCCTGTAAGCAAAGTTGTGTCGTCTGCATAAGATAGGTTGTTGATAAATCTTCCAATTCTGATGCTATGTTCTTCTTCATATAGTACAGCTTCTCAAATGATTTATTTAGCATACATATTGACTAGGTATGGAGAAAGGATATACACCTTTGCTGATTTTAAATGAGGCAATCTTCCCTAGTTCTGTTCAAACAATTGCTTCTTGGTCTAGATAGAGGATTTGCATGAGCACAATTCAGTGTTCTTGGATTCCCATTCATCTCAATGTCTTTAATAATTCGTTATGGTCCACATAGTCAGATGACTTGGCATAGTCCATAAAACACATAAAAGTATATATCTTTCTAGTATTTTTTTCCTTCAGCCAACATCCATCTGACATCAGCATTGATCTCTACTGAGTGCAAATTAACTTTTGGAAGTTCCCTGTCATTGTACTGTTCCAGACACCTTTTAATAATCTTCAGCAAGATTTTATCTGCACGTGCTGTTAATGATATCGTCCAATAAATTCCACACTCTATTGAATCAAAAGAAGATAGAAGGAATTCACAGAGTGACTGTACTGGAAAGAACTGGTCAGCACTGAACCATTTCAGCAAGTAGTAGATGATCAAAGATGAACAGTAGAAAAAGAAGATGTTCAAACTGCCTTGAAGGCACTGGCAAAAACTAAGGGTCCCCTCAAATTGATGGGAGAGCAAATGAGATGTTCCAACAAATAGATACAGTCCTGGATGTGTTCACTATTCTATGCCTAGAAATACAGAAAACAGCTGGCTAGCCAACTGATTAGTAATGAGCTATATTTGAATTCATTAAATTAAAAAAGGTGATCCCACAAAATGACACAGCATTTAAGAAACCAAGATACCTTGCATTGGGAAGTCTGTCAAGGACTTCTCCAAAGAGCTAAAGAGCACAGATATTAGTTTAAAGATTAAGATGTGCCTGAGTCAAGCCATGCTATTTTCAATTGCTTAGTAGGAAGGAGGCTGTGAAGGACTTGGAAAAAAAAAAGCCCCAGGAATTGATGGAATACCAATTGACGTATTTCAACAAACAGATGCTTCCCTAGACGTGCTCATCAGGTTGTGCCAAGAAATCTGGAGGAAAACTACCTGGCCAACTGACTGGTAGAGATCCATCTTTATTCCCATTCCAAAAAAAGGCAAACCGACAGTGTAGAAATTATTGAACAATATCACTAATATCACACACCAGCAAAATTCTGCTGATGATTATCCAGAAATGACTGAAACATTGTACATTGTACAGTACATTGACAGAGAACTACCAAAAATACAAGCTGAGTTTAGAAGAGGCCATAGCACTAGAGACATTATTGCCAATGTCAGATGGATCTTGGCTGAAAGTAGAGTACCAGAGGAATGTCTATCTGTGTTTCATTGATTATGCAAAGGTATATGACTGTGTGGATCACAACAAATTGTGGTTAACTTTGAGGAAAATGAGAATCCTCTAACACTTGATTGTCCTTATGTGAAACTTATACTTGGACCAGAAAACAGTCCTCAGAACAGAACAGGGAAAGACTGTGGTTGGTTGTTGTTATGTGTCACCGAGTTGCTTGTGACTCATAGCAACAGCCCTAAACCCTGTTCTATCCTGTGCCAATCTCACTGTCTCCGACACCCCTCCCTCCATTACCCCAGTCACCAAATCAGTTCACCTCATAGAGGGTCTTCCTCTTCTGTGCTGTCCCTCCACACTCCCAAGCACGACATCCGTCTCCAAGGATTGGTCTCTCCTTATAACATGTCAAAAATATGTCAGAGGAAGCTTCAGAATCCTTGCCTTCAAGGAACAGCATGGTTTAACCCTCTCTAGGTTGAACCTTTTTGTTTTCTTAGCAGTCCATGGTATATTCAATACTTTTCTCCAACACCACAGCTCAAAGACATCAATTCTCCTTCTGTCATCCCTAGTCATTGTCCAGCTCTCTGAAACACAGCAAGTGATTGCAAAGGCCATGGCCTGTATCAGATGCACCTTAGTCTCCAGAGTGACATCATTGCTCTTCAATACTTTGGAGAGTTCCTTAACAACAGACTTTTTAATCGTAAGACATCTTTAAATTTCGTGGCTGCTGGTGCCAAGAGTATTGACTGTGGAGCCAAGCAAATTAAAGCCATTTACAATTTTAGTCTCTTCACCATTTATCATGATGTTGTCCATTGTCCCAGTGATAAGAATGTTTGTTTTCTTGATATTGAGCCTCAATCCATACTGAAGACTTCAATCCTTGACCTTCTTCAGCAAGTGTGTGGCAGGGAAACACTGCATGGGTCAAAATCAGGAAAAGAGTGCATCAGGGATGCATCCTGTCTCCACACCTTTTCAATCTATGCAGAACAGATCATTTGGGAAACAGGGCTTTGTGAGGAAGATTGTGGCATCAGGATTGGAGGAAGACTCATCAACAACCTACATTATGAAGATGACACAACCTTGCTTGCTGAAACTGAGGAGGACCTGAAGCATTTGCTGCAGAAGGTCAAGGACTGTAGTCTTCAATATGGATGGAAACTCAACATCAAGAAGACAAAGATTCTCACCACTGTGCCAGTTGGTAGCACCATCACAGATGGAGACAAGATTGAGATTGTTAGCAGTTAAAGCTTTACTAACTCTACAATCAGTATTCTCTGTGTGTGTGTGTGTGTGTGTGCGTGTGTGTGTGTACCGTCTAATCAGATCTGACTGGTACAGGATAAGATTGTTCTTCTTTCTCCAGCAGAGCATCTGGTGGATTCGAACCACACACCTCTGGGATTGCAGTGCAGCTCCTTGCCACTAAGCCACCAGAGCTCTCTTTACAATCAATATTCTTAACACCAGCAGTTAGGAACTCAAAAGACAAATGGCATTGGGAAAATCTGCTGTCAGGAGGGACCTCTCCAGAGCACTGAAAAGCAATGATGTCCGTCTAGAGACTAAGATGTGCCTAATCCAGACCATGGTCTTTGCAATTACTTGCTGTGCATCAGAGAGCTGGACAATGACTAAAGATGACAGAAGAAGAATTGACATCTTCGAGTTGTGGTGCTAGAGCAAAGTCTTGAGCATACCAAGAAAAAAAACAGATCTGTCTTGGAGTGGGTTAAACCAAGTTTCTCCTTGGAGGCTAGGATTTTGAAGCTCCATCTCACATATTTTGAGTATGTGGCCAGGAGGAACTAGTCCTTGGAGAAGGATATCATGCCCTGAAGGATGGCGGGAAAGCGCAGGACAGGGAGACCCAGGATGAGATGGATGATACAGTAACTGGGGCAATGAGGGTTGGTGTGTTGGAATTAGTGAGGCTGGCTCAGGACAGGGCAGAGTTCAGAGCTGTTGTACATAGGGTCGCTATTGGTTACGGGCAACTTGATGGAACCTAACAC